GCAATACATTTGTGACTCTCTCCCACCTTGCATCTAGAATAAATGGACCATTTCTTGCACTAGCCACACACCAAAATTATTTAAATTTACAGAAGCATTGGAAAATTAAATGACTTCACTGAGAAAGTGCACAGGCCCTGTGATCTGTATTTCTAATTTCTGCATTGCCATAGCCTTCCTGCCATTAGGATGCATTTGTTTCATATGTATACATGCATATATATATGCATGTATGTATGTATATATGTATTATATGTATGTATGTATTATAGTGTAGTGTGTGTATGTGTAGTGAAAAGGCACAATATGAGAAAGTTAAATTAAAGTAATAATTTGGCATTTTGATTTTAACACAAATATTAAACCGATTTCTGTGTGCCTGGAATTTAAAACCCTAGTCAAGTATTTTGTGAGAAAAATAAATCTTTCATTTTGTCTGCATTTCATTACATATACTGTTTAATATTCACTGACTGTTTTCTGTGTGTCAGCTACTTTTCTAGCTACTTTCCTTGGATTCTTTTATTTAGCCCTCACAACTCTCTGAGATAGGCACTATTATTATTTCCATTTTAACAATAAGGAAATTGAGTGTTAGGGCATTAATTACTTGTCAAAGGCCGCACAGCCATAAGAGTGAAAACCTTCCTTCGAATTCGACATACCTGCCTTCAGAGCCCGTGGTTTTAACTACAATGTATGCTCTCATTCTCTTTCAGACTGTCTAGTCTTTGGGCAGTTCATGTTGTGAGTATCGCTCCCCAGCCTTTCAGCATCCATTAATAATTGACTCATACTTAATGTGCTGCTCCTAATCTGCTTATCCCTTTGTCGGTGTGCTTTGGAAAAAATATGAAACTTGATAGCCAATCCTGTTGGAGAGTTGGAAGAAAGTACCCAGGAAACAGAGCATTAAAAAAAAAATAACAACCACCCCTCCAAAAAAATTTTTTAGAAAAATCAACCAGAATGATTTTCACCTAGTACTACCTATTTATTGATTTTTTAAAATATATATTTACCAGACTTGAAAAGTCTTCAAGAAGCAAAAATTTATTCTGGGAATGAAGAAACTAAGCAATATTCTCAAACAGATTTCCATTTTCAGTTTGCTTTATGATGAAATCATCTGATTATGTATAAAAGGAGTTTCTGGACACGCTGCAGTAGGGTAAGGAGGAGAAATGGTCTTGTGTACCTTTTAATACTTTTATGAAAGGGTCTAAATTGGACTTGGGACAAAGTTCAAACTGAAAACTTTTGGCATGGCCACTAATGCTTTTAAAGCAAGTTCCCTAAAAACGGATGTCAAGTAATTTTTAAATAACAGTGTTTCTTAACTGTTTTTATCCTGGCACTTGATGGTGGTGCAGAATATCTTACTTTTATATCATTTGTAAAACACATTCACTTATACATCATCTTATTTTATTTTCATTACTTTACTCTTTGAAAAAAAAAATCAGTGTAATTGTTAATTTACATATCTTATTGTTGAGGAAACTGCAGATAACAGAGATTTAACAACTTTGCCAAGGTAATCCAGCTAGTAAGTGGTTGATACAGGGTTAAAGCTTATTATACATTTTTATATATTAAATTCCATATATTTTCAACTTCACACAGTAAAATTTTCCTTTGAAGTTTTTTTAAATCTTTAATAAAAATGGAAACACTTAGCCGTTCACTATGGTTTTGATTTAAGGATCGTTTGCCTTGCATTACAAAGTAGACGTAACACAGTAACGTGAAACTGTAAAGTTTATAAGAATTTTTCTCTTCCTTCCTTTTGTAGTCTTCCTAACAAGAACATTTCTTGGTTTATAAGCTCTATGCTGATATAAATGTGAATGATTTTAATGATTAAAATATGAAGGATATTTTGCAAAAGAGGGAGAAATGAAACAATTAGACGTAATGTGTCATGGTCTTGAATTATTGATGAGTCTTCTAGCAGCCAAAGAACAAACCTGTGAAATATCTGTCATTATAAATTATATATAATTCTCCCATGGGCTGAAGTTGCATAAACAGGATGCAGCCAGATTCATTAAGAAATGTATTTTGCAAATGTGGCCGTCTTGAGTTTGTATGGAGTGTAGTCAAACGTGGTAGAAATTTTTTCATTACAACAGGGACTGTAATAAAATAGGACTCATTTATTTAGTGGTATCTTTTTCATAGAATCGATGAATTAAGCTTCTGCTGACTTGGTCATTTTAAGACCTTGCGTTGAATTTCTTCTCTAATTCTTGACATTTTGAATTTCAGTTCCTCAGTAAAAACATGGAATTTTGGTCCTGGACCCAGCAGGCGCTCCCTTTTCCTAACTACCCAGCCTTTTGTTGCAGGAGCCTTACCGAGTCACACCAAACTTTAGTTCACTGGGATGGCGTGTTTCAGTTTTATTAATGTTAACATTTTTATTTGAAGCTTGGCTGTGTGTTGTTTTCGGATACGCTGTGCCATTTCCTGCCATCTTGTTAGAAGCATACTAAGACCTTGAGGAAATCTTTGTGTAGATTTTGGGAGGAACAAGGTATGAGGGATTTGGGTTTAATATTGGCCTTAGGATAGATTCTCAATTTGTTTTGTAATGAAAATCCTGATGTTAGTAAAAAAAAAAAAAAAAAAA